TAATTGGGCGTCACCCAGAGTCTGCAACACAGCGTCTAAATGACGCTTGTGCGACTCTATCGCGCTCAGACCGTCCTCCGCCCTACTATGCACGAATACATCGTCAAAGTAATGGGGCGCGTAGGCACGGTGCTGACGCATCACGTGAGCCACCACTCGGTTGAATGTTGCCGGAGCATTTTTCAACCCTTGTGGCATCACAAGCCACTCCCACAGCATACCGCTTGGGGTGCTTACTGCCGTTTTGGCTACATCGGTATCTCTCATGAGAACCTGATAGTAGCCATCCTTCAGATCCAACGCGGAAAAGATAGTTGACTTTCCCATGGAATTCAACAAAACATCTTTCCGCGGGATCGGCGTTTGAGCCGGAATGGTGGCCGTGTTCAGCTTATTATAAGCATGAACCACGCGCCATCCACCCGTTGCTTTACGCACACAGAAGGTCGGGCTGCAGTGAGGCGACTTGCTCTCACGTACATGTCCCGCCTTGGCTCGCTTGTCGAAGAACTCATCGATGTAATCGACTTGTTCCTTCGGCAACGGCCATTGCCTGGTCACACAATACTTGGTGCCAGGCTCCAGGTCAATTTCGTGCCTGATGCCCCTATCGGCCGGTAGGCGGCTCGGCACTTCTGCTGGAAACACATCACGGTGTTTCCACAGAACATCATAGAACGGGCTGTCCTTCAAGGCATCCCAGCCTTGAGCAGCGAACCGTTTCTTTTTGTCGGTCTCCAAGACGCTCTCATCCATTGTGGATGAAGAGCAACAGTCCACCACGTTCTCTTCTGGAACTGGTGCGACTATCTCGTGGATCTTTCCTTCCTTTAGTTCGGACAGGAACAGATCCCACGTCATCTCCGAGAGATTTACTATCTCCTCGGCAGATGCCAAGACAAGTTGGAGCACCTCAACTGAGGATGCCTCCGGCATTTTGTCTTCGACGGCCTCGAACAACTCGTTCGTAGGTCCGTCCTCTTGGACCGAGACTGATCCAAGGGTCACTCGTTTCGACGTGCCCTTGATCGTCTTAATACGTCTGGTGCTCGTTCTTCGAGTCACCACGACCTTTGACCTGGAAGAAGGTGTCGTTGCTATCTCAGCTAACGCACTCCTTCCAACCGCACCAGGCTCTTGGCTCTGTGCCGGTTCTTGTGGCGCTTGACTTCCTGTCAGCCCACCATCAACTGCCACAGGCTCTCGGCTCTGTGCAGGACTATTGGACGCATGACTACCTGTCATCGCCCCATTCACTACACCAGTCTTTTCGACCTGGGTAGGAATATGTGTCACCTGGCTTTCCGCCAGTGCACTTCCAACTACACCACTCCTTTCGAGCTGGGTAGTTCCTGGTGTCGATTGACATACCGTCATCGCACCCTCGACTGTGTTGGACACAGCATCAGCCACATAAGCCTCTCGCAAGAGCACATCCTTTCCGGTGTCTTGCGTAGAGCTAGCGACTGTGCGTGTACGCCAGTCTATCCATGGTTGGTGTTTAGCCAACCAAGGCATGCCTAGGATGAGGTCATACGGACTCTCCATACCTAGCACTGTGAACTTCTCTTTACAAGAGAAGTCACTGAAACTGAAGGCGAGTTCAACTTGAACTCCCTCCGATTTAACGAGCGCGCCGTTCGCTAAACGAACGATCGCCTCTTCTCGCTTGCCATCCTGGCAAAGCGACTCATAACTCGCCGGTCTCTTTTTCAGAGCCGCGAGTTTCACAAAGTTTTGTGATGCACCCGAATCCACGAGAAGGGTCATCACTTGGTCATAGCCTCGTACTCGAGCGCTATAGACCAAAAGGGTTGAGGTCCGACCTTTCGGAACCTCAGGGACTATGCTACCCATTTGTTCGATCACTCTGAACTTAGGGGTAGCTTCAGAGTCCGCGACAGTAGGGCATCCCGCCCCTACTGCGCTCCCGCATTTCCCGACCCATCTTGGGCAGGTGCTGAACCCGTGCGTCGTGCACGCTGGTTTTTCGCACCTCCCTTCGGGTTGGGAGACCTTTTGCTGGCTGCCTTAGCACCAGCAGCTACTTTGGCATAGCAGCGAGCCATCATATGGCCTCGCTTGCCGCACTTGTAGCAGATCACATCTGCATTGCCTAACTCCATAGGAGTGGCATCAGACTTCTCGGACGACGGCCTGTAATAGGCTGTCGCCGAGGCGCTGTTGTAGGATTGCTCCTCAACTAAGGCAATGTCAATTGCCTCTTCCATCGTCGCTGGCACCTTTCTGAAAAGGGCCTGACGCGATGGGCCGTGCCTAAGTCCATTCATGAACGTGGCCACCTTGATACGCTCTGGTATCGGTTCCCCATTAATGGACGCCGACAGCGAACGCATCTCCTGCACAAATTCTTGCAGAGAGCGTTTCGCCTGTCGTGCTCCAAAGAAGCGCGCCATAAGCAACACTTCGTTGTTAGGCGGCTGATACATGGCGCGAATCTTTGCCTTAAAGATCGCCCATGATGGAAATGCATCAGCATTAGCCATCAGCGCAGAGTATGCCCACTCTGACGCTTTGCCACGCAAGTTGGACATGGCATACGACACCATTCTGGTGTCGTCTTCGATGAGCTGCGCCACTCCACATTGCTCAACTGCTAATAGCCAGTGAACAATCGTGTGAGGGCTAGTTCCATCGAACTTCGGAGGGTCCATCCGAATGGGCCTCGGTTGAGCAGGCCGGGCAGAGAGCGTCTCAACAGTTCTGTTGAGCGCCTCATTACGTGCCTGCTCAAGCCTAAGCTCATCCTGAGTCTTAGTGATGGACTCAGCGGTGGCTTGGCTGTTTACCTCGGACGCGTTTCTACGCTGTCCGAGCACAAACGCCTCAAATTGCTCCAACTGAGCAACATGTTGCTCAGGAGGACAATGCAAGAGATTGACCAGGGCTTGTTCACCAAGTCCCTGCGCCATATGCTCTGCCAACTCCCTATGATGTTGGGAGAGGTGAGGGAAGTCACTCCAGTCCATATTAAGGACCATGTCAACCACACGCACGCTCAGAGAGACGGGTCGTGGGAAGGACTACTAGTGCTACCAAGTGTAGACGGGCACTTCTACGAAGTTGCCTCGTACTACGAGCACACACCTTATGCACAAGCGAGGAAGCGGTTATACCGTCTTACCTTCGCGTGCGAGGGTGGTTGGGAGGTTGGTCGACTGCTTAAGCAGTCGTACCACCAGTTGCCTCTCGCTTAAGCGAGAGTGCAACGAACTTCTTAACAAGAAGGCACCGACGTCACGCAGAAGCTTTTCAGCTTCTCGTGCGTGGTGCTGTCGGTGTTTAAGCAAATTCAAGACTGATTTATATTTAATTAGATTTTAACTAAATATAAATCTAACTACTGATTGGTTAATATGTAATGATGGGTGCCATCTCTATAGATGCGCATCCCAACGTGCGAGCTTAAATATATTTAAGCTCGCTCAATGACGTAACTGACTGACGTCATTTGATGACGCCTAGTCCCAGCTGGGCGTCATCCCCATCAATGTGAATACACCTAGTGTATATCACATACGCAAGGGTGTGACACATGGTGTGTCTCACCCGAGCGACAGGTCTTAAGTACTTACGTACCTTTTTAGACCTGCCCGTTAAGTATCGCATACTTAACGGGTACGTGTAACGTTGAGCCCGTTACAGCGCACGACTAAATAATGTACGCTTGATCAGTGCTGAAAATGTGTAACGTGTTTCATGTTCAGGACGACTATTTCAATCAGCACAATCAAAAGCTGTGAAAAAAGTCGTGCTAGTACAAACCAAATATACAACAGGACAACGGACCTAGTGAAGCTGTAGAACATCGAAAATGAGGCTGACAACATGAAACGAATACTGAGTATGTTATGGATCAAAGACGATACTTCACTAGTGTTAACAATGAGATCGTGGTTTTGTCATTGATGATTTGTCTCTTGGAAGACACGAGCGCACGAACGTTCTTTTTTCGTGGACAGACACTTGAAGAAAAGCACACAATGTGGTCTTTCTTTAATTTTCACCACTTTCTGTTACACGCGTAGGGTTTCTTTTCTATTTATCGTTCTTGCTTTTTACGATACAGTCGCACAAGTTTTTTTTGCGCCTAAATGGTGGTGCCATTGACACAAAAACTTTGGAAGAGATGACCGCTCGTCCATCATCATCATCACGAGTGAGGTCTTCTGAATGGCGCAAATTAGGTAACATGATTTATTAGTGTATGGAAGTGACGAATGAGGCTAGAGCATTTGCAGCTGCAAGATGCACGAAGAGTCCACGAGACTGCTGTAATGAATCTCATGTCTGCAGTGAACTATTGGCATGATGTGATTGACACTGGATGTAAACAAGCTAATTTTGCGGATGTCATATCACTTACTGAACCAGAAGTAGAAAAAAGTAGTGACAAAGTGGATCTTGGCTGTTTCAGATAGACTCAAGAATGAACTGAGCGTAAATCAGATGCGCGGAGAGCACAACGTACACTTGCTTTACGGCAAAGTTGCTTATGTAATGTGACAGCGTTATATTCAGGGAAATGATACTGTAATCCTTCACAGAAGCTGAGTGAGTTCGACCGTCAAATTCATGTACCAATGCCTCTTACAGGTAGTATAAATGCATGAATAGGCTTTAAATTGGTCAATAAGTTTGTATCTGCATCGAGATCCAGATGTTACACACTTCTTGAAAAATATGAGGATTTTGCATAAAAAGGGTACTCTTACTGACTAACGACACACAGACGGAGCCAGTTTGAAACCTTCCACACAAAGAAGAGGCTCGAGCTTACCGCCATTTCTTCAGAGGCAACAGAGCGTCCTCACTCGCTGCCAATTGCATTAGCACTAACTCATCATTAACAACGTAAGAACTTGAGCACGCAACTGTTTATTGGGTGATGGTTGATTCTAATTGTGTATTGTTCACCTTGTCAGACCTTTTGAAACGGCTCGTGCATCTTATTAACAACACCAAGCACTACCATCACCATGGGATGCATGAACAGCAAGCGGAAAGACCACACGCAGACCCCCGACACTAGTCGTTACAATGAGCCCAACTACACGGACCTCACACGCAATATGCACAATGGTGGCTTTTCGGGCAACCAGCCGCGTCGCAACTCTGCACAGACAGCCCCTCGCAACCCGCGCATGAACACGGGCACCTCTAACCGCGCGGAATCAGATAACTGCTTCCTGGAGCTGGTAAAATTCCGTCTGGATGAGAGTGAGGTGCTACTGACCCGTAAGGTCTCGAGCGGTGCCTTCGGAGTCGTCTGGCTGGGCCACTACCATGGCCAACCCGTGGCGGTAAAGCGCATGATCGACGGCGAGGATGAGGCCGTTTCATTCTCTCGCGAGATTGAGACCATGTCGAGACTAACGCATCCCAAGATTGTCCGCTTTATTGGCTGCACGTGGACCAACAAGAAGGATTTGGGAGGCGTGTCCGAGTACATGGATGGTGGTGACGTCCGTACGCTACTGGAGACCCGAAAGATTGAGCTCAGCTGGAAGAAGGAGAAGATTTCCATCGCTATTGACGTTGCCGAGGCACTTGCCTATATGCACTCGCGCTCGCCAGTGGTGATTCACCGTGATCTCAAATCACGTAATGTGCTTCTGAACTCGAGCATGGTGTCTAAGTTGAGTGATTTCGGATTGAGTCGGAATCGCTCGTATGAGGAGACCCTGACGGCTGGTGTAGGCACGGTACGCTGGACGGCACCCGAGGTGATGCTGGGAGAAAACTATAGTGAGCAGGCCGATGTGTATTCGTTCGGTGTGGTGCTGAGTGAGTTGGACACGCGCGAGATCCCCTTTGAGGAGAAGAGCAGCAAGACAGGAGCAGGCGGCGCACTCGATATGGCTATTGTGATTAAGGTGGCTAAGGGTGAGCTGCGACCAAGCTTCGCGCCGAATTGCCCCGATGTTATTCTGCGTATAGCTCGTGCGTGTCTGCAGTTCGACCCGGCACTTCGTCCTGACAGCGAATCGGTTGTACAGATGCTAAATGACGCGCGTGTGCAGCTCCAGGCAATGTCATAATCGTAGCATGCAGAGCTTGATGACTCCACGCAGTAGCGTCTCCTTCAGCAGCGAGGGAGCTGCTACCGTCGTTTTACCCTGTCCAGTATGAGCTGGACCGGTGTGATCAGCACCACGAATCAAATGTTTCGTGTTATTCCGCAGGAAGACTCATAGCTGGCGTGGTATTAGAGCAAACGAAGAGCGAGAACGATAGATTAGATGGATGTCTTGCGTTGTGAAAATTAGGGTGAAACGACAGAGATGATCGATTTGATTTGGAGTGTACGGGGATCTGGTGGAATAAGAGGAGAGGTATGGTGACGCGACACACACAAGCAAATGAGCCTATGCCTCCCGCTCCTCTCAGCATCTCCGTGATAGCGACTTACTCCTGTGTTTAATTTGAACCGCTTCGCTCTCATTTTTGATTTTGCATTGGAGCCTGTTATTTCCTCTTCTAACGTCGACATTTTGTAACAAGCGGGGCACATCTCAGCATTGTATCAAGGCAAAAACGACAAAGCGTCTACCTAATCGGCTTGACCCGATAAATCCGAACCATCCACGCATCCGAGGTAAACACGTGCTCAAAATTGTGAAGGTCAATGTTGTGCCCTGAAATTCGAATTCGACGGTTCATATCCCATCCAAAAACGGGATCGTCATTCTCTTTCACTGGTAAGCTCTGTACTTGGTTGAACTCGAAATAACTGAGCTTATAGAGAACGCTTTGCGTCATGGCAAGCGTGGCATTCTCATGGAAAATGTATCGTCCATTCACCTGAAACTCAGACTCAACCACATCGTCCGGAAACACTCCTTCTGAAATCTTGACTATCCACGGCAACTTATCCAGGTCATCACCCGGCATGCCGACTTTTCCCCCAAACAATAAGAACACGTAATCGACATCAAGGCTGCGTAAAATCGGTAACGCGTCATCTTCCTGTGAGGTTAGTACGCGTCCGACAGTAGCGATGTGCGTATTGTTCCACGTATTGTTGTCCACTAGCACTGTACGATTTGCCAGCGTGGTGATCTGGTATCCGTAGTCCCACCAGCTCAGGATTTTAGCGTTTTCGGGAGTATTCTGTCGCAACCAGGTAAATGCTTCACGAAAGTCGTCGTGCAAATCCTTTTTCATCGTCGTCATGTTCATTTTTTCAAACACAAGTGACGTTGACGAGTATACTTTCTTGGCGATTTTGGACGAATGACGGGCGTGAATAATGAGGAGAAACTGTAACAACTAGTGTGAGCGGAGCAGAAACCTTTTGTCAAACAAAGCAAGATTACGTACTCCGCAAGCCAAAACAAGCAGCTGGAGCGTCCTTGAAGGCTTCTGTTTTTCGCCAACAATCTTTTGGTCAGGTTGAAACCGCAACTTAGCACAAAGGGCCAAAAAGATGTCCCCAATATGCGATTTTCTTGGATCTTCTTTCTCATCGTCTTGTGCCGCAATGTTGTTCGTTGTCTCATTGGTCTTCCCTCCTTCTACTGGACAACCGGCTGTATCTCTGCTCGTCATTTCCATAACTTTCTGCATGAATCCCGATGCGCCAACCGCCGAAAGATAGCACGCTGCTGGAGCTAGGGTAAGCAACAATCGAACCATGATACCTGAAAAGTAGAACGCAAATGTGCTGTACACGATCATAAACACAAAAGCAGCGTCCAGTTTCTGGAATGAATAAAACATTCCCAACGGAATGAACAGCATTGCTGGTCCAAGTGAGAAGTAAAACGCTGACCACACAGTCGGTTGGTGTTCTCCCACTGACGCAATGATTGGAATGTACTTGGACGCGTACGTTGGGTCCAGCAGTGTCAAACTTCGCCCACTCCATTGCAGCTTCCCTTGCAAAAATGCAAACAGCAAACCGCTACCGGCGATAGCTGTACCGGTACTCAAACAAGTTTGAAGAAGCCGCGAAAAGTGGCGTTTTGGTATCTGAGTAGATAAATATTGCATGAAAGCATACACTAGATTTAACAACGACAGCAAAGTCAACATCAGCCACCTAGAAGCTAATACAAGATAACATAATTCATTCTGGTGCCACACTGACCTTGTAAAAGTCCAAAAACTCCATGCGATCCAGCCGATTCGCCCTTTAGTACTGCGTTGAATCCAATAAACGGCACTGACATTGTTCCCAGTGTCGCTAGCGGATAAAACGTCGAGTACGCAACATATAATTTGGCTGAGTAATGACCCGAGAGCAGCAATACCAACACGTGGATCGGGATAATGTTGATAATAAACACATATCCTCCCCACGAGAGTGCCATGGTAAAGTACAAAATTGCAGCAAATGCCGCCCATATCATTGCCCCCGTCTTGATAGCCTTCACCCATAAGTAAAAGGTAAAGATCAATAGGAAGATTGCAATTCCTTCATTGTCAAAAGAACCGGCAGTCGATCGTGAGATGTACGCAGGCGACACGCCCAATAGCATGGCCGATAGTAGTGCCGTCCTGTTATCTTCTGTAATCTCCTGAGTCAGCAAGAACTGCGCCACACAGGCAAGAGCCGCGAATGTTGGTGCGAGGAAGACGCAGGCATCGCGAATGGAGATCGGTACGCGCAGTATGGTTGTCAGAAGCCATTGCATCCCAGCAGCGCCGGCCATAAGGCCAGGATACACGGTAGTTCCGACAGTACGACCCAGAGGGTACCACGCGCGATCGTCGAACCAGTTCAGAAGCTCGTAGACACCATGCTTGGCCAGGAACTTGGTCACTCGGAAATTAAACTGCGGATCGAATTCATGAATAACCTGGGGAAAGGTGGTGAGAGGCATGTCATAAATGAAGAGAATAAGGAACGACTTACACTACCCCATACAACGAACGGAAAGAGGCGGATGGAGAAGCTCAAGACGCAGATGAGCGCCAGCAACACACATGTTGTGACCGGCGTCATTTCGGGGCATTAATCTGAGGTTTGTATTGTTCCTTCAAGCGACCTTCGTGTCACCGGTTGTATTGGTTGAAGTGACCTGCATTCTGTTCCGCATTACCCTTGAAAAGTTGCCTTTCATCAAAGTCAAAAAGGAAACTAAAGAAAGAGAGCCAAGGAGAGAGAGAGAAACAAGATGCCTGTAACGCGAGGAAGAGCGCGTATGATGGAGAACGAAGAAGAAGACGTAGAGGAAGAACCGTCGCAGCAGATGCAGGAGTCACAAGACGAACTGGAGCAGCAGGCTCCGACCACAATGGAAGAACCAAAAGTGGTCAACTTGAAGGACATGGCCAAGCAGGCGAGTCACATACTGTAGTTGTACTGACCAAATGTTCATTTATTAATTGATCAGTGTGATCTCTGTACAGTTGACAAATACACTCAAGCATCTGCTGACCACGCACCGGTGCGTTCTTACAGACCTTGTTGCAAATTCAAATTGTCACCAACGCCTTCTTTTCCAAGAACAGTCAGCTGGAGAATGATGCAGCCATGATACAGGCTGGAATAGACGAGCTGCATCGTATGCAAGAAGACGTGCGTTGCCAGTCTTTCTTTAGACGCAGTTGGCAGTTGGTAATTGTCCTCTAACATTTGGTTGTTGTTGTAGCGAGCGGAGCGTATCGTTAAACGGCTCAAGAACGCAAGCTCGACGATCCTTACCTTTGGCGATGCTAACGAAGACGCACATAGAGAGCGTCCTGAACACGACGGTGAAGACTACGAAGACGAGATGATGAATTAGGTAGCAGAAGATAACTGCGTGGAGGGCGTCCACAAACACTAGACGTATATTTCTCCCGTCTCTTCGTGCTTTACGGCATGAGTCTATAGGTATTTTCTCTGCACGACGTCGCGAGCACATATCCATGTGCTTTGCCCTGTGCCTCGACACAGCGCTAGAAATACGCCACGTTCCGTGAACCGAATAGAGCTCTTAGTACAGAGTCTACTTCATGTTGCCACTTTAAGATGGTGAAAGTCACAGCTCACTTCTTCAATGAGTCAAGATCGTCCACGTCTTGTAGATACAGGCTCTTGTCCATTACTGCTGCTGCCGCATCAACGGCCAAGAGAGAATTTTTATCGTCGTCCTCGCCGTCGTCTTCTTCCTCACTATGAACAGAGTATGCCTCGTCATCAGCATCCGCGTCATCGCGGAACAAGGTCGGATCAAACGTAAATAGTGCACGACCACTCACTGCAACAGAGACGAGAAGAAATGAACGTTAGCAACTTCTCCATAATGTTGAATACCATCAAGTCAAGCATTAACGTACTGATGCCACGCCCGCCAGTCTTCTTCGCTTGCTCCTTTAGTCGCTTCGTCTCATCCGCTTTCTTTCGTGCTTGCTTGTCAGCCTTCCACTTTGCGAGTGTTTCCTCCGTAACAGGGGTGCCTCCGTTGGGACCCAACTTGGCACGCTGCTGCTCGATAATTTCCTCAATAGAGATCTCCACCACTTTGTTTGACTTCTCAAGCTCGCGGTCCTTCTTTGACTTGAAAACGTATCCAGAAGGAAGAGCATGGCGATACCTACGTAATACATTCAGCAGTCAGCGAATCACTTATCATGCAAACCCAAAAGTTTAACGACACTGAACGTACTTGCAAGAGGTGCCACCGTTGGGGCATACCCAGAACCAACCATACAACGACTTTTCAATTGCATCCAAGAAGTATTTGCAGACGATTTCCGTTTGCTTCGCGTTCTTCTCGTGATGTTTTTCATTTACCACTTCTTCCAGTTTTTCCTGGTCCCATGTGTCCATTTGATCTAGTATCCAGTACCCCCAAGAGAAAATACCACGTCAAGCAGAGAAAGTAAGAGTTAATAATATAATTCAGGTCGAAAATATCTTTCATCGCACCAGCTTCTTTCTCGGCACGGCTGTCCGTGTACAAGTCGATTTTAGCGGCCTTCTTGCCCACCATCAAGTCGTGCGAAAACTTGCAGCGGTTTCCCTTCGTGCACACGCCTGCTTTGAAAAAAGCGCAAAGCACCGACTTGGGATCTGTTCCAGGAGGAACCTAAACCATCATAGTTAAAGACAAAGTCAGTCGGATAGCTGAGAAAAAACACACAATAGAAGTCGTCAATCACCTTGGGCTGTGTGATAGCGGCTGCAAAAAGACTCTTGAGATTTTCCTGCTCGGCCTTGGCGTCCTTTCTTCTCTTGGCCTCCAGTTCTTTCATGCGGTCAGCGCGTGTGTTCGCACCCTTGACCTGCTTGGTCACCTCCTGAATAAACTTTTGTACATTTTTGCTTTTCTTTTTGTTCTTAAGGCCAAAAGTCTTGTCCTCTAAAGTCTTATCCTTTTGCTTCTCAGCAGACTTCTTAGATGGACCTGGTCCTGCTTTTTTCTTCGGTGGCATCTTACGAAAGACTGATGCTCAAGTAAATTCGAGGTTGTTTCCTGGCTGACAGGTACTCTAACTAAAACAGCAGATGATTGGTAGAAATGATATAGTAGTAATTAGCGAATAGTTATCGCCAATTTGTGATATTTCGGTTAGTACGTGGTAGATAAAGGGCTATCACCTACTAGCCCTTTATGATCCTCCGTAACAACTTCCGTGAACACTTGGTATTGTTCGCTTTCGACACGCTTAATGTCACACCAACCATAGTAATGCTTCATCATCAGCAGGATGATGCCGCCAAGTAACTCGAGCATTGACGGGATCCAGATGGGCCACAGACCTTCGCCCATGCCATATGCAGTGATGCACGCGATGCTGACGATAAAGACGGACTGAAACGTTTTGCTGATGTCTTTTGCACTTTTGGAGCGGTAGACCTTGACAATCTGCGGGACGAGCGCTGCTGACACAAGGAAGGAGCCTATGAGCCCCAGTGTGTCGTAGAAGGTCTCCATTTTGGTCATGATGCTGCTGGGTCAGTTGTGGTTGCTTAGTGCAAAAATATACTGTGCAGTTGTATGGTAGGAGCACGTTATTACTTAGATTCTCTAAGAAGATAGCTACATCATGTGACAAACGTCATTCTAATTTGTGGTCATGACAGATATCTAAGAGGTCTCAGACAACAGAAGGTGATCGTCCTGCTACAACTAGCATTAAAGGTTTGTGTGTTTATTTACGTATCCTGGTCGGATTGGGGTAACACCCTACCAGAAGGCTTGAGCTAGCATGATGCTACCTCAAATCTTTGACGGATGGTATCGCGGCATCCCGTCAGTTTTTGACGGCCCTCTTCCTCTACACCTCTCTCTTTCGGCTCTCACCCCCAGCCGCTAGACAAGCTGCCACGATGTACGCCGCCACGCCCGAAGTCCCGGCATCTCCGCTTAGGTACGCTCGCGTAATTCTTTGTTCCCGGTGCTTGCACAAAGTTCAAATATGAGGCACGTTTTCTACTGTTTTTGCGTGATTTCACTCCCAATCCTCGATCATGGAGGCTAAGTATCACCTCAAAACTATGCGTGCATCTTCTATAGAGTGCATTACTTTACCGCGCAGCTTAGGAAACCACTATTTTGCGAGCACAGGACGAATTACGCCTCGAATAAGAGTATCGCGAGTCAGAAAGAATGTCGGTCTACTTGCTTCCGCCTCTTTCAATTTGCACCTGCCAAGAGCTCCACGACAACTCTCTATATAAATTGATGTTGAAATGTGTTATGTTGTATTCTTCTATCATGTACGGGGGGGGGTCCTTATCGATGCACCACCGCATTGGCTAAAGGCAACGGGTGACGTCTGCCACCACCTCGAGGCTTGCTCGAACGACTTTGCTGGCGTGTACCTACTCTCTCACCTGTCAGCCGTAGTAGAGCTTCATGCTGAGGACAACAAGTGCGGCGCACAGCTCGAAAGTGACTGGGATGTACACGGGCCAAAGCCATCGGCCGAAGCCGTACACCACGATCAGAGAGAGTCCCAATACGTACGAGATCTGGTACGTGAGACTAATGTCCTTGGCACTCTTGGTCGTGTACAGCTTTATCATCTGCGGTACCATCGACAGTCCCAGCAGTAGCGAACCCAGAAAGCCGAGGATCTGGAATGCTTCGCTCATCGTATCAATATCAAAGGGTCAAATTTTTTGGGGAAAACCTCCAAGTAGTAATAACACTCGACCCTTTACGCAATAGAAAAGTAAAAGGCACTTGACGATACTCGTTTCAACACCTTTACTTCTTGAAGTATCCTTTGACATTTTATAATCATGTGGTGCGGCAATCTTGGTGGCTTTATTCGGACTTGTGCGGCAAGCTCAGTTCGAGAGAGCGTCCATAGGTAAGCAAACTTTCATGACAATTCTGCTACCTCCGCTATGTACTCCATCGACGCACGGATGAAGATCCATTACAGGTTCTTATCGAACATGTTGAGTAGGTTATGCTAACTGCCGAAAGTCGTAGAGCAGCCGGAGCGAATGCTAATATCCTTAACGCTCTTGGTCTTTGTATAACATTGCTTAGAATACACGGTAGCCTCTTTTTTCTTCATTATTCTGGTACAATATCGCTTGGTATCAACTTAATGCATACAAACGAACAGATACTTTGTCAAAACTTAAAGGCGTGCTGATGTCTATCTTAGTAGTACAGTTCCATGTAGCTATTGTGCACTTTGCTTCAGGGACACGCACAAACTTTATTTTGGCAACTGGTGCAGATGACACGGCAAGATTTAATGACGCCGCAACAATTGTAAAAGTACGTGATGATTGTCATTCAGCACAGGGATGCTTTGTTGTAAAAGGTTTCATTGAAGGTAAGTAGGTAAACAATTTTCTTACGCCAACGATTGTTACGGCGCCACCATATAAAGCACAACGAAGTCTGATATTTGACAACACTTTACCGTACCTATTGTCATAATATGACGTACTTAGTAGAATTAGAATCAGATCTCCCCTTTCCGCCTTCCAAAACCCAAATTGAACGTAAAGAGCCACTTTAAACCGGACAAGGCACGCACGAGAATGACGCAGCGTGTAAGCGCCATCACGCTACAATTGGATGATGAGATCCGTAAGATCTTACTGTGTCCTAATGTGCCCTTACGAGAGCTCTTGCAATGCATTACTGCGGGTTTCCCGGCCCTCAATTGCGATCAGTCCAAGACGCTCGTGGCGATACAAGACACTTCAAGTCACGTGTTCTACCCACTGTCTCTTCTTTGTCGCTCTCCCGAATTATTTGAAACCGCTTCGTACTACCTCGTACTGGATGGTGTGGTACACAAAAGTACCAAACAATTAAAACATCGATCATATTATCACAGTCGAAAACGTCGTGGGACAGTTGATTATCCGGCAGTTTCAACATTATCCGACGTGAACCAAGAGGACGAGGAGATTTTGACGAATAACGAGAAGGACAAGCGGCCAATACCAGCTGTTACGTCCTCTGAAGACGAGCTAGAGATTGATTTATCGGATTTTGAACTACCACAGCTTGTCAATGTGTTTACACAAGCCTGTCCTACAGGCACATTGAATCAGATGACATTCAATCGGTGCTTGGAGAAAATATTGTCACAGTCGGGACGATATGATCAGCAAGCACGGAAAATGTTTACGAGGTTGTTTAATATATTTGAAAAGCAGAGTCGACGGAAAAATATCGTGGACGTGGCTGATTTTCTAGGAGGTGTCTCAGTCTTTGCATGTGGTGAACGTGACGAAAAGATTCGTTTGACATTTGATCTCTATGATATGGACGGTGACGGGTTCATTTCAAAAGAAGAAATGACGAAATACTTGACTGCAGTGTTTCTAGTCATTAATGAGGCATCGCCAGAGCTTTTCCTTGAAAACAAGTGGGTTTACAACGTCCAGTGATTTTTTTAGTAATGCGTGGTACTTAGTATTCTTTTGTTTGCGTTGAATGTCTTTTTAGCGTCAATCCAGCAGAGTTAAGCAATGTGACGGCGAATCAGTGTTTTGCAGAGTCAATATTGAATCAGGAGGGCAAATTGTCGTATGAGGCGTTCCGAAAATGGTACTCGAAGCCGGGACCTACGCAGCTTGCTGCTGCTAAATACAACGGAATGAAAACGACTCGCGTGAGTGCCTCCCAGTCGCCAGAGATTTTTGACTTGGCCACTCTTCGCGAGGTTACAGGTCTGTCGGCGCTGAGTGCATCCGATTTTTTTTCCATCTTCAATGCGTTATTGGCCAATGGTGGGGACAAGAAAGAAGTACTTACCCGTGCCGAGTTCAAGAGGTGTTTCTATGACATATTAGAGAGATTGAACCGGAAGCCTACCAGTGCGATCGCAATGTTTTTGGACCGGCTCTTTGATGCGTTTGACGAGGACAAAAACGACTCTGTAGACTTTGTGAAGCTGAGCAGCGGACTTTCAGTATTGTGTGGCGGCTCAAGTGAAGACAAAGTGACGGCAGCTTTTTCGTGTTTTGATGCTGATGGCGATGGATACATCACAGAGCAGGAGATGGAAGCGTATCTGACATCTGTCTTTAACGTTATGTACGAGACTTCGACAGCCACAACGCAATCAATTGGAATTGACGCTAAATCTCTTGCACGCTTCACAACAAAGCAAGCCTTTGAAGAAGCAGATGTGAGTCGTGACGGAAAGCTGTCGCTGGAAGAATTTCGCTCGTGGTACCGGGTTTATGAGCACAATCAACAGCCGTCAACAGGTGTACATGTAGGTCTCCAGCGTCAGCTCGGAGTGCACGGCAACGATGCGTTTGGAACAACTAGCTCTGTTGCTTCCCTTATAGGGCTGTGTGACCGACGTCCCAATGATGTTTTCGAAATCATCGCAGCAAAAGTAAATGAGGATGGCGTCCTGTCGCGAGAAGCCTTTTTTACTATCGTTGACGAACTCGTCGAGGACCATGTGACTAATGCCAAACACAAGTTAAGTACTGAGGAAAAGGATCAAGTGAAGAAAATCATGGCGACCGTCTTTGATGGGTTTGATAGTGATCACGACGGCTTTGTAGATTTTTGCGAACTATCCAGCGGCATTTCTGTATTGTGCGGTGGGTCACAGGAAGAGAAAATTAAGTCTGCGTTTACTTTGTTTGACATTTACCGAGACGGATTCATCTCACGCGATGAAATGGAAACATACCTGGCTTCAGTATACCGGATAGTGTTTGTGACATCTCCTGCTACAATGCAGCAACTTAATGGTATTTCTCCAAGACAGCTAGCTCGAATCACTACAGCGGATGCATTTTCACTTGCTGATGCAAATGAGGACGGCCGTTTGAGCTTTGAAGAGTTCACCAAATGGTACAGTACTCAAAGCGCGCCTATGGTGCCTTTGCAATCACACCAAGTTGCCGCGACGCCCTCCATGACTGGCACTCTGTCGTCTTCTCGAGCTTCTTTCGTGTCTTCAAGTGAAGTGCTCAATGAAATGAAAAAATTGACAAACCTTGTTGCGTACGACGTGAATGATATTTTTGAGTTTTTTCAAGCCTCGGCGGATCAAGAAGGCAATTTGTCTCAACCAGATTTCTTTCGCTGCTTCAACACACTGCTAGCAAAAGACAGGCAAATCAGTCTTGATACACAGATAAACACTCAACAGCTTTTAAAGCAACTGTATGAGCTTTTTGACGCTGATAAAGATGGAATTGTGGATGTGCAGGAGCTTGGCGCTGGTCTTTCGATTCTTTGTGGCGGAAGTCGAGCAGACAGAGCTAAAGCGATGTTCACGCTGTACGATGACAACCACGACGGCTGCATATCTCCTGAAGAAATGACATCGTACTTGTCATCTGTCTTTAAAGTAATGTTTACGGCATCACCGGATCTACTATCAAAAACAGGAATGATGCCGGAGCAGCTCGCTACAATTACCACAAGGGAATGTTTTCGTGGTTTTGATGTCAACCGTGACGGGCAATTGAGTGTCGACGAGTTTCGAGTTTGGTTTGAACAACAAAACCCGTACGCTTTCTATAAGCGAGCGTGTGTCTCGAATGGTAGCAAGGCCTCACTCCCGAGTGAACTTATTCATTCATCTTCTTCGAGCTCAAGCGAGCCTACTACGGCAGATATAATTCCGATTGACGTTGCGAAGAAGCTGTCCGGCCTGGAAAACATGTCTTTGGACGACGTGTCCGAGCTCTTTAGCTTAGCAATTGATGGTGGTAACCGGATTTTGCGACGCATATTTGACAAGTGTTTTTACAAGCATATTTGCAGTAAAAATACGTCGATGTTATCCGAAAGTGAGAGTACTCGAGTACATGAAGTGATTGATCGTATCTTTTCCGCATTTGATACTGAGCAAAAAGGAATTGTTGGCTTCAACGAGCTTATGAGTGGACTATCGATTCTCTGTGATGCTTCTTCTCGGGACGAGACGGTCTTAGCTGCGTTTAAATTGTACGACACAAATGGAGACGGTGTGATATCAGAGAAAGAAATGAACCACTATTTCGGATCCGTGTTCAAGTTGCTTTATGCTCTCGATCCTACCCATCAGCAAAAGCTTGTGATTTCAGCTAATAATCTAGCAGCGGTGACAGCAAGCGAGATTTTTGAGGTCGCCGACGTGGATCGTGATGGAAAGCTTACCTTTGACGAGTTTCAGAGATGGTATTCAAATCCAGAACAAACATTCTTTACTGATATCGTGGCTCCTCTTGATTTAAATGAGGTGCGGCAGCTGACGAACCTGGGAAGCTTGGACGTAGTTGAGGTTTTCGGACGATTTGCGGAGCATGCAGATGAAAATGGAATGCTCGATCGAGAATCTTTCGACAAGTGTTTTTTTGAAATCATTGAGATGGCTCAACCGCGCACTCACATTGAAAAGTTGCGTGCAACGATGATAGTAGATCGTTTGTATGACGTGTTCGATCACGACGGTAATGGGCAAATTGACTTTAGCGAGCTGGCTAGTGGACTCTCTGTTCTCTGCAAAGGAGCACGAGATGCTAAAGTTAAGGCTGCGTTCCGCTTGTATGACTTCAACGCCGATGGATTTATCTCGATGGAGGAGATGAAGCGCTATCTTACGTCAATCTTCAAGGTGCTGTATGAAGTACAGCCTAAAATGCAGCTGGAAACCGGCGTATCAGCTGAGAAACTCGGTGCTATTACTGCAGAACAGGCGTTTCTGGAGGCAGACTCCAACAAAAACGGCAAACTAAGCTATGACGAATTTTTGACATGGTACAATTCTCCTGCCCAGGCGGGGATTAGTAGTGCCGTAGCGAAGAATGCTATTGTGGATTCTTCACTACGCTGGATGCCACTAAACGAAATTAAGCAGATTACAAATCTTGCTCAGTACGGGCCAGAGGAAGTGTTTGAGATTTTTGCAGGTGAAACGAATGAAGACGGTCTGTTGTCGCGAGATGCCTTTGATGAAAGCTTTCGCAAGGTAATCGATGGTCAGAAATCTAAGGCAGGATGGATGTCTGATCCTAAAACTCAAAAGAAGATGCAAGAGATTATCGACAGCCTCTTCAACTTGTTCGACAGAGACGGCAATGGAGCTGTAGACTTTGGAGAGCTTGCTAGCGGGCTGTCTGTGCTATGCGGTGGTACAAAGGATCAAAAAGTGAAGGCAGCTTTTTCTTTGTTCGACTTCAATGATGATGGATTTATTTCTCTTGACGAGATGACGCGGTACCTCACGTCTGTATTCCGTGTACTGTTTCAGGTATCACCGAATGCTCAATCTCTTGGCATTTCTCCTGAAGAACTGGGAGAAGTCACAGCTCAACGGGCCTTTGCTGAGGCCGATCAAGATCATGATGGACAATTATCACTAAGGGAGTTTCAGGATTGGTATCGTAAACCAGGTGGGATTGGTGAAGTTGCAAAGAATGGGGAGCAGTTATTTAGTTTCGCTAAAACGCGGCAACTAACAAATTTACAAGCATGTTCTCCAATGGAAGTTTTGCAAACTCTCGCCTTCTGCGCCGACGAGCAAGGGCTCGTGTCGCGAGAAGCGTTTGATGAGTGTTTCCGAACAATCATTTCAACGAATCAAGGCATCAAGTTAGAAGAGTACCAGCGGATCAACCCCATTCTCAACCGCCTTTTTGAGCTCTTTGATGTTAACAATAGTGGTATGGTCGACTTCAGTGAGATCTCATGCGGGCTGTCTGTATTTTCTGGCGGCGCGTCTGAGGAGAAAGTTGGTGCTGCATTTGCTTTGTACGATTATAACGCCGATGGTTACATCTCGATGGAGGAGATGACATGGTATCTAACCTCTGTTTTTAAGGTATTGGAGGAAGCGTCACCTTCTGTGGTTTTGCACTTAAATCGCGAGTCCCCCGAGGAGCTGGGTCTTCTTACTGCGCAGCAGACATTTGAAGAAGCTGGTCTGGACCGTGACGGCCGTTTAAGCTTTCCTGAATTCCGCAAATGGTACACTCGATCCAATGCTGCGAATATGGAGTGTCTTATCCAGAATAATGTCCCGGAGTGGCTGTCGCTGCGTGAGGTGCGGCATCTGACAAATCTGAGCTCGTTCTCGGCTCAGCAGGCGCTAAATACGTTTACCAAGTTCACATCTCCAGATGGCACTATGGACAATGAAAGGTTTAGGCAGGCGTTTGAGCATTTTCAAGACGAGTCGGCGACTGATGAGTCAAAGGACAGGCTGCAATTGTTAGTCGACCGAGTCTTTGCCCTGTTCGACAAGGACAATAATGGGCGGGTAGACGTTTACGAGCTTGCTAGCGGGCTGTCATTGCTTTGTGAGGAAAGTCAGACGGATAAAGTGCGCACTGCGTTTAATTTGTATGATGTGAACCATGACGGATATATTTCGCTAGGAGAAATGCGTCTCTACCTTACTGCAGTGTTTAAGGTGCTCTTCGAGGTGAATCCGGATAGAGAGGCACGAATGGGTGTGACACCCGAGGAGCTGGCCGAAATTACAGCGGAGCAGGCTTTTGCTGAAGCTGACCACGACAAGGATGGCAAACTTTCATTTGCAGAATTTGAGCAGTGGTACATGCAGCAGAAAACGGTGGGGGATTTACCTCTGCCCGTTCTCAGCGAGCAAGAACAGCAGCGGCAACAAGGACGAAAGATGCAGGGAGAAGTACCTCATTGGGTGAGCCTGGATGTGGTTAAGCAGATGACAAACTTAGAAAAGTACACGGCCGATGAAGTATTCGAAATCTTTGCCATCCGTTGCGCAGAGGATGGGACGCTATCACGTGAGGCTTTTGAAGAGTGTTTCGAGCAACTTGTGGATGAACAGTACAAAAACGACGAGGCCAATCTGGCACGCTTGCGACTTATTCTAGACAGGTTATTTGTAATCTTCGAGGAAGACCACAACGGCACTGTTGATTTCTGCGAATTGAGTAGTGGTCTATCCATTCTCTGCGGTGGTTCTCGGGAAGAAAAGGTTCGAGCTGCATTTTCACTTTTTGATCTTAAAAAAGATGGATTCATCTCGCTAGACGAAATGGTACGCTATCTATCGAGCGTCTTCAAGGTACTTTACGAGACCAGTCCGGGAACCAACGAAAAACTGGGTGTACGACCGGAAGAGCTGGCTGTAATTACAGCTGAGCAGTGTTTTCTGGAAGGCGATTCGAACGAGGACGGAAAGGTGAGTTTCGATGAGTTCGTAGCTTGGTACTCTAAATCGTCCGGGTTTGAGGCGCATGTGGCTGGTGAAGGTAGTATTCTTCTGCAACAACAAGACACAAATGGTAACACAAGCGAGAGTCGTGATGATGGCCCCCTGTCACATACGAATAGTAAAAGTGGCAGTTACCGCAATGGATCACCTGCTCCTGTGTCGCCAAAGAAAACGACTTGGGGTGCTAGTGAAGACTCTAACACGACCTGCATCAGCACCGCTCCAGTAGGCTTCCCGCCTGATAAGATTTATGGCATGATGGGATCCAATGGCAACACACTGGTCTCACCGAACTCAGCATCTGTTCTGAATATAAATAGCTCCAACATGGAGAACGTCCGACAACTACTAAAGCTGGACACGTATGAGGTTAATGACGTGCTTGAGATATTTGCTGAGGCTGCACCCTCTGGTGAGCTAACATTTGCGGCGTTCAAGAAGTGTTTTGATCAGATCATTCGGCTGGCAGGGGGGCATGGCTCATCGGAAGAACGCCACGAGGCCGACGTGATGGTCCGTCGACTTTTTCGTGCGTTTGATACGGACAACAGCAACACAGTCGATTATGGTGAGCTTGCTAGCGGCCTCTCCGTGTTGTCCGGATCTAGCATGGACGACAAGGTTCGAGTAGCGTTCCAACTGTACGATATCAATGGAGACGGATATATTACTCATGAAGAGATGGTCAGCTACATGACGTCAATTTTCAGAGTGATGTACGAGACGACTGATAGCACGAAGACCAAGATGGGCGTATCACCCGAAGAACTTGCTCGTGCAACAGCCGGACAGTGTTTCAAGGAGGCGGACCTGAATGGAGACAATAAGCTCAGCTTTGAAGAGTTCAAGAAGGTACTGGCGTAGAATGACGTGGTTTGTACTTCTTTACTTATACTTGAAGGCTGACATTGTGTTTGCATTGCGACTGCAGTGGTGCACTTCGGGAGTTTGAAAGAGACTGGTGATATTAGTACGGAATTTGTGAATTAAAATGAATGCATTGCCCATGACTGTTACTAAAAAACCTGAATCTCGTCGTCTTGCAAGAAGGCGTCGCCAACGTCGACATCGATATTCAAGTCAAAGTCGAGTTTGTCGATCCCAATGCTCCCCTCTTCTGCCATGAGGTCAGTTAGCGCATCAAGCAGGCTTTCACTGACATCGGCTACAATTCCACACAAGCGGTCAGACTATGGTATCTCCTCAGCATGCTTGGAGCACATGCTTCCTACAATACCATGGGCGTCGAGTAGACGGTTGCAAAGCTGTTTTTGCTCAAGCCCCACGCGATCGGTGAATTCCTGGATAGCGGCTGCTCTGGCAAGAAACTCGTCTTCCTTGTCATCGTCCTAATGAGCCATCACGGCTTTCGTTTAGAATCACAAAACATTGACAGCGAAAGAGCGCATCACAAACCGCAGTGCATACGAGCTTTAACGCAAGCTCTTCTTCAATCCCACTAGTTGTTTGAGGCGCAAACATCAGTATGTAATGACTACAAGGCATACAATCTTGGTATCAGTTTAATCTTACCACTTGCCAGGAGACAGGGGAGCCTCAGCACACGGCAGCACGCTGTTGGCTGGCTCATCGGCAAACTCCAAAGCAGTTTCCTTTGGATTCAGCATACATGTACTTGGTAAAGACACGTTGTGGTCTCGATCGCTTTGACAGGTATCCACTATTAGACATGCAAAAAAACAGTGCTGAGCACTCAAAGCAAAGTATTACCCTGACTCGATTACTCCAGTATTTTGTAGCGGATGTACTGCTGCTATCAACACAAACTACATGTTAGACGTCACAAACTTAACCCTCTGATTGTAATATCACACACCACTTGGAGGTACACGTTTGCTTTTTTTCAATGGTGGGCCCGCTATCGTTGAGGCCACTAGCAACCCTCGCTTTTTCAGCACAGCACCATCGTCCACCTTCTTGCTCCTCTCACCCATTCGAATAGCAAAAGGTACAGTGCTTCGAATGCTGTCCTTCCGCCCTGCGTTTTCAGCTTGCACTCCAGCCTGTTTCTCCTTGTCTTTGTTGGTTACTGGGTTTTCTAGCAAACTGCTTTTACCACGTTCATTTTTACAAGAAAATGCAGTCTTCCCGTCCCTTTGGGCAATTGAATCCGTAGCTTTCCGCTTTTTCGCGACGGAGGATTTCGTGTCCGCTCGAAAAGAAAATAGTTCTTCCTTTTTCTCGTGTGGCTTGAGCAATGTCTCCTTGTTAGCGTTTCTTGTGGTGCATATAATCTTCTTTGAAAAAGGCTGGGCAAACAACTTGCCCACAAATGGTTTCATGCCTGTTTGTGCTAATGGTGTCGCATTCATAGAAGACTTGCCAGTCGATTCCCCAGAATCTCTTGGCTTAGACTGAAACTTCATAAAATTGACCCCCGAACTCTTTCTTGGTGGGGCGCCATCTTTCGTTAGCGGTTGGATGAAGCTATTGGTCGCAATGATGCTGCGTTTAGCGTTGTCTGCACGTGATAGACAACGTATACAGATTAATTCAGCCGTAGGACTGCCTGAAAACACTCATTAACTTCCTTCTTACTTTGTGTCTCAGTAGATGCGCCTGCACCTGCTACTGTAAGGAATTTTGCTTTTGGCTTCGTTTCCCGACATGCTTGTTTCTCTAATGCATTAAACTCACTTTATCTACTGAAGAGTCAAGAAAAAAAGACGCTCTACTATCGTCTACGTACTCGTCACCAGCGGCAAGGGATCTCTGGATGTGCATAGTTTAAATTTGCCTTTAGCTGAGATCACACCGGGCTTGAACGTCGCCACAGCAGCGCCACCACCTTTCTTCAACCCACCACCGAATCGCTCCATGCTGTTATTTTTACCGCCTTTGTGTCTTCCGCGTCTACCACTGGAAAATGTTGAATGCGGAATGAAAACTGTGAAAGGGAAACTTCAACTTTGTCGAGCAAGAGTGATGGTTAGGGAAACCTGTCACACTGGATATCACGCTGTCGACGATAGATTTTTATAAGTGCAAGCTCCGTTTTTGCGCCCAAGACGTTACCGACTTGTCGCAGGTTTCGAGATCGCACCTTGGCGCGAAAATCTTTCGGGCTGAGTGCGGCTAGTGAATGATGACTGACTAGTAAAGTGAGCAGACGCTGGTGCACCATCGAGTCATCACCTTTTGTGCACTGTTGCAAGAGTGAGAGCAATACATGGTTCCATACGAAGCTCGTGAAGGCATCACTATGGCAGTGCTCCAATATCCAGCAAATGTCGATGATATCCGGCACCTGTGCCGCCGTCATCTCTTCGTCCTGTCCTAGTTGCGGTTTAGACTGCTGTACACTTCGATAAATATCTATCCAATCACTCTCTGCTAACGCAGCCCACTGACGCACGTCTTCAAGTGCAGCTTGTTGCGGGTTCAAAAAGTGCTTTTTCGCGCTGTCTCGCATTTGATCGAGTGTAAAATCCTCTATGGAATGGTCGGCTATACTACAGCTAGTTATTGAAAATGGTGGGGATTCAAACCCCATGAGCTGCTTTAATGGAATATGAACTGACGGTAAAAAGCTCGTCATCTTCAGTTCTGGCCGTGGCAGAACAAACTCATCCTCGATTCGAGTGTACTCAAGACGAAATTGACGAGGAGCACGACGTCGCAAGAAACAGAGCTGCAGCACTTGATCGGGTGCGAGTCCTTCCTGGTAAAGATCAAAAACGTTGGATACGCCTGATGCAGACGTCATGACAGCGTCGCCATCCACGTCCATGTTTTAGAGCTTCTTCGTTTTTGTCCAATGCCGTATCTTCCTTTTGACAAATGACTGTTCACATTGTCAACATCTTATTGGAGATCTTGTGCCCAGTCATATCACTTACTCTGATGTGCTTGACTCTCGTCACGCCCTTTCGTTTAAGAAGGGATCATTCCATTTCCAAGCATGACCGCTATTGCATTCGACAAGTCCCAATTTGCGTCTCTAAACGAGTATGCAGACGCTCTCAATGCGCAACTAAAGGGTAAAACGGCGCAGGAGATCGTAAATTGGACGTTTGATACCTTCGGCGCGCGCACGTTGCTAAGCTCGAGCTTCGGCATTCAATCAGCTGTCATGTTGCATCTTGTACGCAGCGTGAGCATGAGCATTCCCGTCGTGTGGGTGGACACTGGTTACTTGCCTAAGGAGACGTATCAGTTTGCTGCTCATCTGACTAAGGTGCTGGATCTGGACGTGCGCGTGTACCAATCGCCTATCTCGCCGGCGCGAATGGAGGCGCTTTACGGTAAATTGTACGAGCTCGAGTCGTATGAGGCCTATCGCCAGTATGGCTTCATGCGCAAGGTGGAGCCCATGCAGCGTGCCTTGAAGGAACTTGACGCTGAGGCACTACTCGTAGGTGTTCGTGGTGATCAAACCCAACACCGCCAGCACATGCAGCTGGTGAACGTGTACGAAGGTCGTCTCAAAATCTGCCCCATCCTCAATTGGGACAAGAAGGAGGTCGAGAAGTACATGGCTGCCAATCAGTTGGAGTATCATCCGCTGAAGGCTAAGGGCTATGAGAGTGTGGGTGATGATCATTCCAGTCGCCCTGTGACGGAAGCGGATAAGGGCAATGACCGTGCAGGAAGATTTAATAGCAAACAGCAGGAGTGTGGTCTGCACTTGGACATGCACGACATGAAGCTGGAAGACTTCGAGTTCAACGACCCGTTGGTACTCTCGGAGCGCGACCAGGAGCTTCTGGCGCTTACAAAGCGTGCGAAGAGGATTACTGTATTCACGAAGCCCACGTGTAAGTTCTGCCTAGCTGCCAAGGACATCATGCACGAGCGTGGATGGGAATTCGACGAGTTTAGTGTTCCCAGCGAAGTGTCCATCCAGTCACTACAGCAGATCGTCGGCCGGGCTGTCCAGACTGTTCCTCAAATCTTTTTGGATGGTAAATATATCGGCGGCTACATGGAATTTGTGGCACACCTTGGTATTTCGTCACGCTTTTCCTAAACAGCAACCCGCAGTTCTCGAAGAAGTCAATACATTAAGATGCAGATTACTCGACGCCAATGTAAAAGGTCTACTTTCATGTCGAGTACTCTTTTGACAATGTAGATGTTTTACTTTATGTCAAGTACTCTTTTACGATGTAAATGATGTTGTGTTCCTTTTTTAAGTAAACCGTTATCGGGTTTTCTCATACATATTAACTACCACGTCTCATGTTTCGCAGCCGTCACAAAGTGCTTCAGGCACTGAGGCAAATCTTCCATCTCACCATAATGTGGATGAAGATCCATCTCTCATTGTAGACAAAAATTAGAGCACGTCATTGCCATCACCCCAAAGTGGCGATGAGCAAAGCGCGTTGATGGGACATATGTCCCAATCATTTGAGGCACTCGTCCTTGAGGAAGCTTCTATGCTTCCTGCAAGCAAAGGTAACGCCTCGTCGTCTGCGCCTACGAGCGCAGCGACTAAGACTGAGCGCGCTACTTCCAAAGAAGTAGTCGCAACTCAATCTAGTGTGACTCCTCAGGCTGATGTCTTGACAATCCATAATGGAGAGTCAGACTCAGGTGGGTGTGAGCTTAAAGCTCCACCAAGTACACCTTTGGCCTCACTAGCCCGCCGTCGCGAGGGCGGCTACGTGAGTGGTGGCTTGCCACCAATGCCACCTCCATCTGAGTGGATAAACTCGGATGGGACTTGTGCAGCGCTTTTTGCAGCGTGCCACTATTGATTCTCTAAATTTTATAGCGTCTTTCCTTTGTGGAAAAAGCAGGGCAAAGCACTTGGTCGTGCTTTCCCAATTCCAGTCGTGCTGCGTTCTAACGAAACAGCCGACGAATATGAAGCTTAACTTCGACGTCGTGTTACCTTGCATGTAGATGCAACGAAACAACGGTCGCAGCGAATCAGCTTCGCCATGAAGCGTGCGCATGAAATCTTGGGTGGTAAGCGACTCCCAATTGAATCTCGCCACGCTTCTTCTGCTAGTCCATCCGGACCTAGCAGAAAGACGACAGCTGGTGCTGCTTCTCGTAAGCAGCCATCAGCCCAGGCAAGTCGACGCGCAAAGCGTCCACAGGCTCCCACGAGTCAAAGCTCGTTGGGTAACCCTTCCACTGGACAAGGATTTGGAGCATTCGCTTCACAAACCGGTGGGCCAACAGCCTTCCAACAAGGAAGCGCGCATGCCCTTCAGACGACCCACGTAAAACACTGGGTGCGTCTATATATACGGTAGGATAGTGAGCCTATACTTTAGGTCTCCAACCTACTCGACCACCGTAAATGGCTCAATGAATCGGGCATTAGCTTAGTAGTACCACCAGGTAGTACAAAAATTGCATTTTGAGGTAGGTCAGCAGTACTTAATAGCACTTTGTCCCCCACACTAAAGTGTTCATTGTTTTTGCGACCATGCTTGTCTGCATATTGTTTTTGCTTGTCTTGTGCGCTTGCGATCGCGTCACGGACTTTACGTGTGATGGCTAATCGCTCATCCACGAAGCTCTGAACTTCGCTCACGCTTTTAGCATCCAGCTCGCCTATGACGCCTCCAAGAGGTCGGTCATGGGTCGACGCTGTTAATAACACTTTAGTGTAAGCGTCAAGGAGCACAGTCACTTCTTGCCGTGCCCTTTAACCTAAAGGTGTCGTGACCACTGCTAAACTAGCAGTGTCACCAAAGCAACCTCGGCCCTTTTTGGCATTCGCACCGAGCGAAGTGAGGGGCCTCCCCCACTAAGACTCTGGCTGCGCACAAACGAGACTGGCGTCCGAGGATGACGCAGTCCGTTAATGTAAAACGGTGTTTCACCCGCACTGGCGTGAACACTGTCATTGACAGCGAACCCCACGAATGGCAATTGCTTGCTCCATTTTTTGGGAGTCGCTATTGTACGCAACACATCCGCCACGACTCGATTGGCCCGTTCTGTTTGGCCATCAGTTTGGGGATGATCGGCTGTTGACATGTGGAGTTTGCTTCCCAGCAGCTCAAACGCATGTCGCCAAAAACCCGACGTAAAACGCGGATCTTGGTCCGATACTATGGACTCGGGCATCCTGTGTAGTCGATACACGTGATGCAGAAACACGAGGGCAGCCTCTTTTCCTGAGATTTTGGTGCTACATGGTTCCAAGTGCACCATCTTGCTTAGCCTGTCTACAAAGACGACGAGCCCCGTCCTGCCTTTATGGTCAGGTGGAAGGCCAAACATGAAGTCCAAACTAACCGACTTCCAACATTCAGTTGGAATCGGCAGTGGCTTCAATGGTGCACTATTAGAAGGTGCAGGCTTTATGCGCTGACACTCTTCGCAAGAGCGAATATAGTTGGCCACCCATGGGGCCGCCAAAATTCCTTTGATACTCGTAAGAATGTCTTTTCACGGCCCAGTTGCCCACTTGATGTCGCATCATGGCACTCGTGAAGTATCATCAGCTTGAGATCTGTGCCATGAGGGACGTAGATTCTCAAGGGATCGCAGGGTGACAGTTGATGCCATAACAGGCCATCACTGTAACTAAAGCGATTTAGTTTCGCTTTGAGGTGCGATGGAAGGGCAAATGATACAATGTGTTCGTCCTGACTGTAACACTCCTTGATATCGGAGGTCATTGAGCTCGTCACATGGTAGGCCTTCATGGCTGCTAATGTTGATGAGCTCACCTTGTGCTTTCGCACGTGACACATTTTCCTGGTGTCTTGCCTCGAAGTTAGGTCTACGCGATGACGCGTCATCCAATACATTCGACTTACCCGGCTTATATTTAACTTTGAAATTAAATTCAGAGAAGAATATTAGCCATTTCGCCATTCTCGGCGACAGGTGCGGTGAATTTATAGCGGTCCGCAGTGATGCGTGATCCGTATAAACCACAAAAGGTTCGTTGCCCAAAAGGTGCACCCGAAACTTTACAAGGGCATACTTAATTAGAAGTAGCTCCTTGTCATTGACAGGGTAATTCAGCGCTGCAGCTTTTAAAAGCCGAGACTGATAAGAAATGACACGGTCAACGCCATCGTCATCCTTCTGCATGAGCGCGCTGCCGATTGCAAAGTTGCTTGCATCGCAGACGACGCTAAAGGGCTTATCCGCGTCTGTCAATGCCAATCCCCGGTGCCTCTACAAGAGATTGCTTCACTGACGTGAACGCATCTTCTTGCTCCTTTAACCAAGTCCATTCTGTATCCTTTTTTAAAAGGTCAGACAATGGCTTGGTCTGCTCCGCATAATTCTTGCTGTACTTATGCAAGTAATTAGCGAGCCCAAGGAATTGGCGCAGATCCTTCACATGTCGTGGGACTGGCCATTCCTTTACAACCTTTACCTTTTCTGGGTCTGCTCGTACACCATGTGCACCTACGATGCAGCCCAGTACCGGTATCTCGGGGACCCCTACTACGCACTTTTGCAAGCTCACGTATAATTGGGCGTCACCCAGAGTCTGCAACACAGCGTCTAAATGACGCTTGTGCGACTCTACTGCGCTCAGACCGTCCTCCGCCCTACTATGCACGAATACATCGTCAAAGTAATGGGGCGCGTAGGCACGGTGCTGACGCATCACGTGAGCCACCACTCGGTTGAATGTTGCCGGAGTATTTTTCAACCCTTGTGGCATCACAAGCTACTCCCACAGCATACCGCTAGGGGTGCTTACTGTCGTTTTGGCTACATCAGTATCTCTCATGAGGACTTGATAGTAGCCATCTTTCAGATTCAACGCGGAAAAGATAGTTGACTTTCCCATGGAATTCAACAAAACATCTTTCCGCGGGATCGGCGTTTGTGCCGGAATGGTGGTCGTGTTCAGCTTATTATAAGCGTGAATCACGCGCCATCCATATGTTGCTTTACGTACACAGAAGGTCGGGCTGCAGTGAGGCGACTTGCTCTCACGTACATGTCCCGCCTTAGCTCGCTTGTCGAAGACTTCATCGATGTAATCGACTTGTTCCTTCGGCAACGGCCATTGCCTGGTCACACAATACTTGGTGCCAGGATCCAGGCCAATCTCGTTCCTGATGCCCCTATCGGCCGGTAGGCGGCTCGGCACTTCTGCTGGAAACACATCACGATGTTTCCACAGAACATCATAAAACGGGCTGTCCTTCAAGGCATCCCAGCCTTAAGCAGCGAACCGTTTCTTTTTGTCGGTCTCCAAGACGCTCTCATCCATTGTGGATGAAGAGCAACAGTCCACCACGTTCTCTTCTGGAACTGGTGTGACTATCTCGTGGATCTTTCCTTCCTTTAGTTCGGACAGGAACAGATCCCACGTCATCTCCGAGAGATTTACTATCTCCTCGGCAGATGCCAAGACAAGTTGGAGCACCTCAACTGAGGATGCCTCCGGCATTTTGTCTTCGACGGCCTCGAACAACTCGTTCGTAGGTCCGTCCTCTTGGACCGAGACTGATCCAAGGGTCACTCGTTTCGACGTGCCCTTGATCGTCTTAATACGTCTGGTGCTCGTTCTTCGAGTCACCGCGACCTTTGACCTGGAAGAAGGTGTCGTTGCTGTATTAGCAAACGAACTCCTTCCAGCCGCACCAGGCTTATGGCTCTGTTCCGGTTCTTCTGGCGCTTAACTTCCTGTCATCCCACCATCAACTGCCGTAGGCTCTCGGCTCTGTGCAGGACTATTGGACGCATGACTACTTGTCATCGCCTCATTCACTACACCAGTCTCTTCGACTGGTGTAGTGAATGTGGTAAAAATATGTGTCACCTGGCTTTCCGCAGGGCACTTCCAGCTACACCACTCCTTTCGAGCTGGGTATATTCTGGTGCTGATTGACATACCGTCATCGCACCCTCGACTGTGTTGGACACAAAATCAGTCACATAAGCCACTCGCAAGAGCACATCCTTTTCGGCGTTGTGCGTAGAGCTAGCGACTGTGCGTGTATGCCAGTCTATCCATGGTTGGTGTTTAGCCAACCAAGGCATGCCTAGGATGAGGTCATACGGACTCTCCATACCTAGCACTGT